TGTGTGAGAGTGAGAGTGTGTGAGAGAGAGTGAGTGTGTGTGTGTGTGTGTGTGTGAGTGAGTGTGTGTGAGAGAGAGTGATTCTGTGTGTGTTCTGACCGTGTGTTGTGTGCTGGTGCTGTCGGTCAGCTGGCAGCGCTGCAGTGTTGTTCCTGTGTTCTCTAGCAGAGGGCAGAGCTCAGCATCAGGAAATAACCAGCGGAGAACCGTCTCTCTGGGACTGGACGAGAAACTCCTGACACACACACGAGCATCAAACACACACAACATACAGATGCTAATGATCATATAATAACCTGAATGCTGCTGGTTACCAGAGCAGGGTGAAGTTGGCAGGTGTTGCTGTGAGTGTGTCTGGCTGTGATAACTGCTCCAGATGAGAGATACGGCGAGACAGAGACTCTCCGCCCTGAAACACACACACACACACGTTAACCTCCATCATGACACACTGTGTGTGAGTATGTGTGCGTGTCTGTACCTTGAGCAGCAGTGGCTGTGTGTGTTTTTCGATCCCCGCAGACGCTCTCAGCTCTATCACCGCTGTCACGTCTGCGCAGGCCGAGCAGTTCCCCTGCGGCATCTGCAGCGCGCCAGACACCCACCACTCGTGAAAACCTGCACACACACACACACACGTGTTGAGATGGACATGCGCTGAAAGTGAGTGCAGAGCATGGAGCGTCTGATGGTGTCTCACCGTGCAGCTTGTATTTCTGGGTGATGGGCAGCGCTAGCAGCCGCGCGTGACTGAGAGGAGAAGAGCTGTTGTGTCCCGCCGCGCTCGAGGAGTCCAGCAGCGGCACACTGTGAGGATACGTGAACACCAGCACCACCATCAGCAGAACACCCACCGCCAGCACCAGCTGCACACACATACACATCTGTCACACACACTCACAACACACACACACACCGGTCACACACATCTCACACACACCAGTCACACACATCTCACACACACACACACCTGTCACACACTCACAACAGACACAAACACACAC